GCGCGCCAACTTGGGTTCGTCACTCGGGCAACAGTTCGCGAACTGAGTTCCGAAACATGGGTTACAGCGCGTTTCGAAAGAACTTCGGGATATTTTTGGGGTAACCCCGCAACGTCAAACCAACCTACGAACTACACCAAGCCAAGGTACTCGCCGTGAAGCATCAAACTATACAAAAACATGGATATATTATTTAATCATTTTTGTTAAATTTTAAATGCCAAAGTAGCATCGTCTATATCGTCCCTGACTTAGCAATTGACGAGGGACTAGTTAGAACTTAACACCTGTTAACACTTTTGTCTTAATTTTTACAAGGTTTAAACCTCGTCGACTTCAACTAACAACATAGCATGACATAGTCCATACTTCATACTAATTCGTGGAATAAAATATTAAAGCGCTATTAAAGTAGGTTCCACTATATAATTCACCCAAGATAGCACTTTTAAACACAAATCATTAGTTTGCCGCCTCAACGAAATTCGATCTTTGAGCTATCAGAAATACCATGGAACAACACCTATTCACCAAATCCACAGTTGCACTTTGAATTTATTTAAGTACTAAATACAAGTTATATTTTATCTTTGTTTATAAAAAAATTGTTCTTCATGCTTAATCAAATAAACAAGCCATTCGCTATTTACTCGCTATCAGGCATTAACCTAGATGCTAAGCAAGCTCGTAACACCCGAGGTGTTACAACCAACCCCCTTAAAAAGAATCTCGTCCCGAGATTCGAAGCAAGAACCAGAAGAGGGGAAACACGATTACACTTCGTAGATCATAAATTACATGAAAGATTACACGACTTCGAATACTAAACCACACGGGGATTTAGGGATACGTGGTTAAGAGCAACCTAATACAACCAAAGCTTAATCCAGAAGTCGATATAGACGAGGACAATGGAGAAACAGCGGGAACATGATTATCCAAAATATGACGTAGGTCCAACAAATCCAGAAACACAAACATCATGAACCCTAAGACCGAACTAACTAACGGTAGACTTGACTTCTTTAAACCAGATCCTTTCTTCTCAAATTACACCATCCCCTCAGTTTATTTTCAGGCGCACTAATCAGCGAACAATCGCTGATGGAGAATCGAGTGAATGCTCTGACAACAAATCGATTTTCATTTTTAGGAGGCGCGTCTGCACTCTTCTCCTTTTGGCATGAACGCTGATGCGAATGGACGCTGGTACGAATCAGACCAGCCAGCCGGTTGGATCCCTCTCATATAACTGTTTATCAAACCAGCCATATAGTGTTTTTATCTCACAACAAACCAATCAAAACAGTGTTTTTAGCCAAGTTTCAGACCAGCGAACGGGACCTAAGTGCTTGTTTGCATCCCGTGCTGTGACGTCGCCCTGACACAACTAAAAAAAAGCAAAATATTTACTTTAAATTGCTATCCTGCGATTGACCGTCAAAAAGTGTTAGTTTTGAAAAAGGAAAAAAAAAAGATCCGTATCTTCGCCCGTATCAGCCGCGTCCTGCGACTGGCCGTCAAAAAACTGTTAGTTTTAAAAAAAAAATCTATGTTAGATTTAAAAATAGTATTAAAAAGGGTTAAAAATTAAAAAAAAAATTGCACGTACGCGTGCGCGCGCGCATCCAAGTCGAACCAGACGACGTTGGATCGTTCGCTCACCAGAAAACGTGTGAACGGCTCGTGGAAATGGATTTGGTGGGTTTATTTCCTTTTCCTCTTGTATGCACCGCTTGCACCACCTTCCCATTAGCATCCCTACTTAAAGAGTGTTCATTATGTATTCATCAATTGCTGAAAAAAGACAGGTTTTCGAAAAATTGCTAAAAAGAGAGCTTATAATATCGCAGCAACAACTAGTTTCTCATATCTTTGTCTCCTGCCCTAGGAGAAGGTTTACCTAAATTTTGTTTTTCTTATTTTAATAAAAGGGATATAATATAATATAAGCACTTAATATTTTTCCTACTATCTGTTTACAAAGGTTTATCGTATAATGTGCAAGCAGATATTTGATTGCCTGCAATGTTCTTGCAAAGTTTTTTTTACCAGGCCTTCTAAAGAAATCGAGTGCTTATGTTTTTCCTTTGTTCTAACTATAATGCTACAGCACGGGTGTCCATCCTGTGATGCAGCTCCCACACCTGCGTAGGACCGGGGTCCATCTCCTAAAAATAGAACAAAAAAAATCCCCACTCTGGAGTGACCGGCCATCCCCGAGCCCCCGAGGCCGCGACACAAGATCTGCCTCCGACTTCGAGCGCGAGCACTGCCACCCCGAGCGCTGAGGCCGAGCCGCCCGAGAGGCACCCCGCCGGCTGCTACCCCGTGCCTGTGCCTGCGCCTGCGTGTACTCTGGGCAGTTCTCGACGTCCCCCTGACCCGAGCTTGCTGGCTACCGTAGTTCCCCACCAGGTATGCCGTGGTCGCCGACGACGTCGTGTTTCAAGTGTTTTCATATAAATGTTGCAAAAGTAGATCTGGGATGTTGCATACTCCGTAGGTTGCAATGACATTATACGTATGTTGCAAGCCTATGTTTCAACTGTTTCAGATGTTTCATACGTATGTTTCAAGTGTGTCTATCTGGATGTTGCATATGTTGCTATGGCTCTACCCGCATGTTTTAAGCGTATGTTTCAAGTGCTTCATATGTTTCATACTTATGTTGCAAATGCTTTATTTGAACGTTGCAAAAGTAGATCTGGATGTTGCATATTTTGCTATGCCTATACACGCATGTTTCAATCGCATGTTTCAAGTGTTTCATCTATTTCAGACGTATGTTGTCAATGTTTCAAAAGTAGATCGGGATGTTGCACGGCGTGGCCAGTGGCTGGCGGACAGCGACCTGCCGCAGCCGTCTGTCGCTGCTGCTGCTGGGGCACAGCCGTGGGTCAACCCACGTGGGTTTTCCCTGTGCAGGCACAGGGTGGGCACGGGCCTTGTGACGGACGCGGGCGTTGGTGCTGGGCAGGATGCGGGACGTGAGCATGGGGTCTACGTCCGGACGCGACATCCCGTCAGGGCGCTAGGCTTTCCGTTGTTCTAAACATGATCACACCTTGATAAAATTGTATCTACTGAAATCCATTTGTCGGTTGTGCAGCTTTGCATTATTTTGTTCAAGTTTTAGGTCCCAATAGCAAAGCACGAGCCAATACCTAGTGATGCTAAAAGGCAGGGCCGGTCCTGAGGGTTTAAGGGCCTAGAGCGAAATCATAGACGAAGGCCCCTTAAAAATTGAAATAAAGGGAAAAATATGCATATGAAATGTTACCAATAAACACATCTAAAATTATCAAGCAATTTAATATTTACAGGTAAAAAATGATTATGTAATTTTGTGCGCCAATCCAGTGCGTGCGGGGGGATCGATCACGGTGTTTTAGTTTGGTATTTAACATATTCTCATTCTGTAAGTAAAATAAACACACATCACGCTTCATAGAGAGTCAAACTCTTTTAAATTTAACTATAAAATAATATCAATATTTGTATCTTAAAATAGTTTATTATAAATATATAATGCACAACTAATGTAATAATGCTTACTGCACATAATAAATATTAGTATTATTGTGTATATATATTTGATCAAACTTAAAATATTTGACTCCTTGATTAATAGGGTATGTACTTATTTTAGGATGGACGAAGTAACAAATAGTGAGACTGAGTAAATGATAAAAGGTACTCCGTTTTAAATTATAAGATATTTTAGCTTTTTTAGATTCATAACTTTTGCTATGCACCTAGATATATTATGTCTAGATACATAGGAAAATGTATGAATATAAATTACCAAAACGTCTTATAATGTGGGACAAAGGAAATAGGAATTAATAGTCTATTGACAAAGTCACGTGGATCACGTCACGTTGCACAAGCACATTATAGAAGTCGAGATTATACAAGTATAGCTACAACTCGAGCATTATTTTGCCACAAGGTTGAAAGTTTTAAACCGGCGTCCCAATAGCAACACAGCACGATTCTGGCCCCAATCCGAGGGCCCAGTCTTGAGGCACTGTCGACCCCCGCCTGGACCGGGCCTGCTAAAAGGTACCATTTGAAGTACGCATAAAACTAAAATATATATCTTAACATTAATTAACTTTACATTGTATTGTTTAAGACTTCAAATTTATGGTTATTGAATTGAATTGTACATTTAATTACAAATCTAACTGTATCAATTTTGTTTTACAAAAGTTCAAAATTGTTGGTTAAATTATTGATTAAAGATTATAATGTTTAAATCTTGATATAAGTGCACGCACTATACAATGGTCAAAGACAGTACTGTAAGCCTTTTATCCGAGTGATTTGAAAACTAAAACATGAATTGTATGCATGTTGTAAGAAAATGGTTCAGGTGTATTCCAGCGCTCACAGAAACTTTTGAAAACATGACCAAAACAAATTTGAAATCAACGGCCATTTCCCAATATCAGTTCCATAAATAAAGAAGAATTCGAGCATATGCCTAAATTAGTTAAGTCCCTACATGATTTGAAATTGGTAAATGGCGTATACGCTCTTATCTGCTCTCAACAGAGGTACTCTTTAAGACCGCAAGCCTTTCCATGTCGGAACGAATTCGTTGCAGATCAAAAGAAATTTAGCCAAAATTTTTTTGAGTTTGTAACAAAATTTGAATATAGGGTCTCGACAACGAATAAAAAAATCACTGGAATTACTTGGTCTCCCAAGTTCAACGGCTCTAAAGCATAAGAGCTACATCTACCCTGACAGCGTCCTACATAAATCTGTCTAGTTTCCGTTCCTACTCTTTCTTGCATCCTAAATCCTAAGTATTTTGCATCACAAACTTAAAAATACTATAAACAAAAGCTGGTCGGGAGATATCTAGATATCCGACGCTGGGTCTCCGTGAATGAAAAAGCATGACCTTCCTGAATCTTTGCTCGTTCTAAGTTGTGAATAGCAAGGAAGACCCCCATGCTAATAAAATTGACGCTTTTGAAAGAGAATCACTTAGCACGCTTCGCCCGGCTCATCCACTTCTTGATAGGAAAAACAGATAGCTTGGGCCTCCCCTCTTTCTGGGGCAACTCTGATGATGTTTCTTTCTCCGCACAATTTTCCTTCTCTGAGTATGGTAGCAGTTCAAAGGCACCACGGGAGAAACCTCTGGCAATCTGAATGTAATGTATTTAAAGATGCTAGCTACCTCAGAAACTCCGAGTATAAATACAAATGAACCATGCTAAGAACACATACGAGGAGGCACCAGCAGAAGATTGTACCTTCAACAAAATCCACACTTTAAGGGAGCTACTCAGGAGTCCTAGTTTTGTCTTCTTTCCTGACGTCAAATACGTGCACATCTCATGATCCACTCTAAGCACAAATCTTGGCCATGATTTTGGTTTCTCAGGGTCTGATTTTCGTCGTGAGGCAGCCTGGTTCATTGAACAAGATTAACAGAAACAACGAATTCTGGCTCAATTATTAGTAACTAGAATTGGAAGCGAGCCTAGTTCAACTAGTTAGAGTGGGAGGTGCGGTTATGCATCATATAATTCCTGTTTGCATTAAATCAGTAGTTGATACTGTTGCTAACAAAAAAAAAGGGCGTACCCAGTGCAAAGAGCTCCCGCTCTATGCGGGATCTGGGGAAGGGTGTCAGTGGCAAGCCTTACCCTCGCCTGTACAATGCGAGGAGACCGCGACTCGAACCCGGGACCTTCCGGTCACAGGCGGTAAGACTCTACCGCTCGCACCAGGCCCGCCCTTCAATACTGTTGCTAACACACAAGAAAAATAAAAATGTAATTAGCCTTTAGGACTTACGAGACGTCGACATATTTCACGTTCAATCTTTGAAAAGGATGTGTCAAGAGCTTCCACACGACCAGTACCATGGCAGCATGTACATGGCTCACTGATCATGAAAGTAACACTTGGTCGGACCTGCAAACAACAATAAGCCATTTTAACACTCCAATCATAAAATCAACTATAGTGGGATGAGCCAATCCTATACTTGTTTAGGGTGCCAGCTAGGCCCCTAAATTATTAATTTTCACATAGTATCATATGCATTTAATGAATGCCACGTAGGGATGAAAACGGGACGGATATTTTTCCGATATCCATCCGTCCCGAAATGGTTAAAACCCTATATGGATAGTTCGTATCCGAATTTTTTTTCTCGAACACGCAGGAGAGCTGCGTATCTTTGTATTAAGAAGAAAAAAGGGGCAAGAGCCCTTACAACACACACCCACACTCCTAATTTGAACATTTAATTAATATCCGTATCGTATCCGAATCGGAATACTCAAAATCGGATTTCTGATATGTACTCCCTCCATCCCCTAATATAAGGCGCAATTTGACTTGGTGCGGTCTTTAAGAACATATTTTGACCTATAATTTCTCTTATAATATATAATTTGTAGGAACAAAAGTTTGATCATTAAAAAGTATTTATAAACACAAATCTAATGTAACTAATTTTGTAATACAAACTTTTGATATAATTAGGCTAATTGTTAGTCAAAGATAATAAAATTTGAATTTTGAAATATGTGCATGCCTTATATTCGGAACGGAGGGAGTATATGAGATAGATATCAATATCCGACTATGAGATAGATATCAATATCTGACGTATCCGACATGATCTGTATCCGGTTCCGAATCCCGAGAAAAAATATGGGATAGAATACAAGATCACTGTATCCGATCCGTTTTCATCCCTAGTGCCACATAACAGTATTTGATGATTGTGGCATGGCATTTAAGAAGAAAGAAGCAAGCAGCTTGGGCACGAGAACCAAGTTTTGAAAAGTGCACACTTGTTCTGGGCCTTAAACTTGGTTGCCATCTAAGCCTTCTTGACCTCTTTCCCTAGAGAGAATCTTGCAGGGCTTAGTTATCCCAACAATGGCCACTATTTCACTGAGGAAAATTAATGCACAAATCGCATGTGATACAAAAAGAAATCCATGAACATGCCATTGTGTGACTTATGAAGCTGGTGCACATACCCTTTTTCTAGTTATTTCCATCAAACCTAGCTTTGATAGTTCTGAAACACCAACTGTCGATCGATCCTTTTCTACTGCTTTCTTCATTTCTTCATATACTAGCCTTTTGTTCGCTGGAAGAAAATGTGGCATCAGTGACAATGAGAAAGGAGAAGCAATAAAAAAAGTTTGCATCATTATCATTTTCTATTAGTGGTGCTAACTAAGACATGTTGCCTTTTGGAGTTCACGATTTGTTAAAAAGAAGCACCAGTCTTAAACATCCCAATTCACTATGCAAAACATTCATGCCAAACTGTCCCTTAATTGATGCAAAGAAAAATTAAGGAATGTACCAGATATTCCAATAGGGAAGATACTGAACGAAAATTGATCAAAATTCACTCAGCTCAATTAAATTTACAGGCAAGTAATATCTAAACACTTTTAACCCGTAAGTAGTTCATTCACTTCATAAAGAGAGCACAGCTACTGCTACAGCACTTAGGGTGCTACAATGTCACCCCTTCTTGAAACTGAAGTGAAGAGTTATGTCAATGTGGTCAAAATTTTTATCCTTTCATGACAACTATATATGCTCTCATATATGAAATCTTACTGTTTTTTTCTCGAATACGCAGGAGAGCTACGTATCATTGCATTAAGAAGAAAAAAAGAGAATAAAAAACTCTTATACAATGATGAATGACTGAATAAAGCAAGGTTTAAACATAAAGAAAGAATATAGTTTGTACGGTCCAAGCCCATGAAAACTGCAAACACACATATCAATAAAAATTCACGTGAAGTATAAAACCACTCCCTCCATCCTAAAATAAATCAATTCCTATAATCATCCTAGGAAAGGGTAACCACATCTATGACACAAATAAGTACATTAAGAAAATATATCTCATGATGTATCTAGTAACACTAATTTGGTGTCCTTTTCTATAAATTTGGTCAAAATAAAATAGTTTGACTTACAACTCTAGAAGTTGGTTTAATTTGGGATGGAGGTAGTACATTGTAGCAAAGAGGACTGTAGTGTATAGGTACCAGAATCCTTTATACTTTTAAGAGATATTATTAGGAGATTAGCACCAAAAGCACACATGGAGAAACTTGAACATTCAGTTTTGTGACATCAGTTATCAGATAGTATCTGAAATCATACTCACAATCATCTGACATATCGATAAAATCCACAATTATAATGCCACCAATATCCCTCAAGCGCAACTCACGGGCAATCTGCATTCAGAATTTTTTTTCATGGTTATTCGTAATTTTTAATAAACTTCAAATTTACAATATATTTTCTGCTTCAACTATAGTGTCACCCTACACAGAAGATGCAACGAATCTCTTACAAATATGACTGCAGGGATTCAACATGTTCCCTTACAAATATGACAGCAGGTTATTCAAGTCGTAATTCATGAGTAAACATAAAGTTGCATAGACAAGAGAAAACACATCCTTTATGTGTTTGAACTGTTGAGCAAAACTGCAGGCAACAGATGAACTACGCCATGCATTTATTTTGAGATAGATGAACTCAAAGAAAAAAGGTGACAAAAAAAAGAAAACCAACTGAAAAATGGTTAAGGTGAATTATCCTTGAAAAGGCAAATTGGAAAACAATGCAAAGCAAGCTTACTTCCCAGTAAATTTCAAGATAAATCACATACTTGCTTTGCAGCTTCAAGATTGACTTCTAAAATAGCCTTCTCCTGTGATGTTCCCTGACCAAACATACTGTGACCACCATTCACATCAACTGAAACCAGAGCTTCAGTCTGTTCTATGACCAGAGAACCCCCATTGCATAGTGGTACCCTGCCACAAGGGAAAAAAAAAACACAATATTACACAAACTAGACTTTACAGCTTACAACAACTTAGAGGTCAAGACAGTTACATAAACTTAAATTAAAAGTGAATTTTGAACTTTTTAAGCAGCTTTTCAGTATCAGTTCAATTAGATATCTTGTTTCAGAGCAACAAAACAGAACTGTGTTCCGTAGTGACAAACATCTGGCTCACACTGATTTTACCAAGATGATATATGGAAGGTCTCACAAACCAGACGTGGATCTCGGATTTGCAAGGTACTTTGAGTGAATGTCATTGTGGAATTCCTTGAACTATGGGACATTCTGTCTAATGTGGAACTACAGCCAGGTGTGGACGATTCTCATATTTGGTAACTCAACTCAAGTGGACAGTACACGGCAAAGTCAGCTTATAGGGGTTCTTCCAGGAATCAGTGAGATTGTTTTCTTGGGAGAGGATCTGGAAGACTTGGGCACCGAGCAAGTGTTGCTTCTTCATGTGGCTTGTCACACACAACAGGTGCTGGACAGAAGATAGGCTAGCAAGGCGGGGTCTTGATCATCCCTCTCATTGTCTTCATTGTGACAAAGACACTGTCACTGAGACTATAAATCATCTTTTGGAGGACTGTTTTTTGCACGAGATTTTTGGTTTGGCATGCTGCAGAAAGTTGGCATGCAAAACCTCTCATCCCAGCTTGATGAAACATCCTTTGAGGGCTGGAGGGACAAGGCCAGCAAGGCTGTTGATGGATTGGCAAGAAAAGGCCTCAACTCTATCGTCATTTTAGGAGCTTGGACACTCTAGAACCAAAGAAATCGCTGTGCGTTCAATGGAGTTTCACCAAATCTAAATAGATTTTTATCCCTTGCCTGCCATGAGTTGAGGTTGTAGGGTATCGCAGGTGCCAGGGGTATGTCTTACATGACGCTGACTAGCCTGCTGCCCCAATGAATGAGTCCTAGGTCAGGGGTTGCTGTTAAACTGTTTTCCAGGAGATTTAGTTCTAGAATCAAAGGTGTGGAGTGCGATATTGTGTGGGGTTCTTTTCCTATCTTATTCTTCACGATATAATGATATTCACCTCTCCTGCGTGTTCGAGAAAAAAAAAACATGATATATGGTCTGCAGACATCATGAATCTTTTTACTAAATTTGCCATTAGCAGCTAGACAGCACCACTATGTTATCCACACACTACTCCAACCTACTCCACTAGCTGGCTAACTCAGTCATCATTCAAGATAATAAATAGCAGTCCTCTGTTGGGCTTGAAAAATAATTCTTGTTCACTAATGACCAAATGACACAAGCACATATTATGATCAGCGACCTCAGTTGAAACTAGTTCTATAGGACCTACATGCATGTGTACACACATCTGACCCATCTACATTTTACGCAAAAGTGTGTTTAATATTCTGAAACACACAGGAAATATTTGTAAGGTAGAGGACATAACTTAAGCTACCTCAGAGTATATACAACAACAAGCAAAGCTTTAGTCCAAAGTTGGAGGGCTGTGGGGGTTCTATAGATGAAACCCAACAAGAGTATGAAATATTGGGTTAAAAAAGCAATAGTAGCGATTAGTGAAAGTAAGTTATATGAGCCTATAGTGTCATACCTGTCTATTGTATATTAAAATATTGCAAACTGATTTTTTGATATGGAATAATGTGTGGATGAAGTTATCCTTCAGCTTCACAGGTTTAACCACAACCTCAGATCTTCAATTTAATTATGCCTAAGCTCGATTAACTTGCTCATGTGCACTTTTTTCTCACTCTTGGCTGCCTGTTGCATGCCGTTTTTCCTACTTCTCACCTATACAGGTTTTGCCTTGCTTTCCGTAACTCCTTTTCTCCATTCTTTTTTAATAAAATGCTCAGTAGGGTCCTCCCGTACTGTATTTCCCCTCAGAAAAATTGTCTTTATTGTTTCACTAATCTTGATTTTGGCTCGCACAAAAAAAAAATATGTCAAACTAATTGCACTTCAGGACTCGCATATCTTAGCAAAGTCACAAACCAACTCAATAATTCAACCAACAGATGCTTTTCCCAATTGAGAAGGTGCTTGTGCTACTACTCAGTATATTTCAACACCAATGAGTAAAAATTAAGCCCACAAAATTGACAACCATGTGATATTGATTTTGGACACTACCCCAAATCCACATATTTTTTCCAAGGCCCTAATTGTTCGATCCACATCCTATAGTAGTAGACGTGCTAGTAATCATCAGGCCAAGATATCTTTCTATTTCTCTGATAGCTTTTTCATGATGATGACTGGCAATGTACTTGGTAAATCTTATTCTGCTAACCCCATACTAGCTTGCTCTACGCAACCATGTTACTGCACATGCTATCCAACTGATTCTATCTATGAAACAGGTGGTTTTTACTGGAAGTGGGTGTTTTTTCCTGTAAGTGGGTGGTTTTCTGCCACCTAGATTATGATGTGGCCTAAGACCACCTGCTGCAAGTCCCTCTCTTCTATCTTTTCTTCTTGCCACTTTTTTTTCTTCATTCACACAGAAGCAAAGCGGCTGGCCATGGAAGAGAGAGAAGAGAGAAAAGGACACGCTGCCCCAGGACATCATGGTGTTGGCAAAAAAAGGAAAAGGAAAACCGGCAATGAAGGAAAAACTCCTGCCACATCACTCCAAAACCAACAAAAAAGAGCTTAGAGATCAAAATCAAACAGTATAGATAATTAGGGTGCCAGATTTAAACAAGGGTTGAGGAACAAGAAATGGATTTATTCCTTGTTCTAATTCAAAATCATCTTAAAGCATTTCTTGTACTAGATCTACCAAACGAAGTAGAAGGTACAGTAACTTTAAGTTTTGTTCTACAGATGCACTACTTAAAAAAAAATTACAGCACAAAATGATGAGTTAAACAACCATAAAAATGCTTACTAATGAAAAGAATTCCACCAACAGGAACTATGAAATAATATAGAAACAATGAAATAGCACCTTTTGCAAAGGATACTGTCTATCTCCTTCTCGATGTTGTATACATCAAATATAGGTTTTCTTTTCTCATAAAGCTCAACTCGGCTGCAGAGCTCAGGTGCAACTTCTTGAAGATAGCTTGTAACCTAAACACAAACAGGAAAATTATATGCTTCACAGGATTTAAGAAATAATTTTGCATAAGGATTAAGGATGAACAGTGCAAAGAAACCAACAGGGTAAATGCTTTGTATAGTCAAGTAAACGAGGTACGCCAAGATATTCTACAATCCGTAATCCTTCTTTATACTAACTGCTATGTTTCAAAAACGTCGCCTAGGCATCCAGGCAGACCCAGCTCTCCTTGGGGGTCTAGTTACATGCCTTGTTACCCAAGGGTGGAGGTATGTGTAATGTAGTGGGTGCAGCCACACCCACACAAAAATTAAATAACAGTAGTAAAAGCCAAATTTTCACCATATTTGCACCCTCATTTCACAAATTCTTGCACCCACAAAGCAAGAGCACCCCCCTCGGATTTGCTCTAGCTCCGGCATAGGCATCACCTAGGCGATAAGGCATGTTAGACGGACAGATTGGGCACCCCTGCAGCATGCACGGCATGCACGCTTCTATGTTCAGGTGCATTGCATTGCCTGATTGATTTGCTCCCCACTGCAACAACTAGGCTGATTAGGAAGTATTGTATTCTATGTATATCACATTAGATTGTTGCCTTGTATGTAGCCACTGTCGCCCGTTCTGAAGACTTTCCGCAGCAATGGTGGGCTGCTATGGAGGAAAAACATTCTCTTCAGCAAGTGGATCTTGTAGCACAAGCTACTGCCTTATTGGACTGCGGGGTTCTTCCCGGCTTCACCCAATGGTCCTGTGTTGACTACGGCGAGACATTCAGTCCGGTGGTAAAGCCAACGACAGTTTGCACTGTTCTGTCCTTAGCTTTGTCCCGCCATTGGCCTATTCATCAGCTCGATGTCAAGAACGTCTTTGTGCACGGCAAACAATGTCAATGTTATTTATATGACCGACAAACATGTTCACCATCGTCGCACAAAGCACATCGAGATTGACATCCACTTCGTCCGCAAGAATTAGGTCGCATTGGGACAAGTTCGCGTGCTCCACGTCCCATCCTCCCACCAATTCGCAGGCATTATGACCAAAGGACTACTGTAGTCTGGCACGTGCCTTGTGGTATCTGACATTCACCAATGCAGCCGATGATCCTACTCACTACCGTAGTTTGGCACGTGCCTTGTGGTATCTGACATACACACGGCCGAATATCTCATATGTCGTCCAACAGGCTTGTCTCTACATGCATGACCCTCCTAAACCACACTTCACTTGGGTCAAGCATATTTTGTGCCATCTTCACAAAACCCTCAACTATGGCCTCTCTTTATTTCAGACTCCCCCTACTGAGCTGGTGGTTTACTCTAATGCTGATTGGGTGGGCTATCCCGACACCCGTAAGTCCACTTTGGGCTATGCAATCTTTCTTGGTGAGAATTTTACCTCTTGGTCCTCCAAGCACCAACCTACTGTCTCCCGCTCAAGCATCCAGGTAGAATACCATGACATTGCCAATGGTATTGCCAAACCTACCTGGGTAGTGTTTGGTTGGATGTTTTGTAACGGCATCTGATTACAGCGGCAATTGATAACGTTAGATTCTGTTTGTTTTGCCTCCACTATAAACGCATCACGCCGTAAAGAGATACGGGCTAATAGAAACCTGATACCGCTCAAACCTAGTTGTAATCTGTTCGCCTCATCTTCCCCTCGACAGCGCCGGCGCCGCCCATCCCCAATGCCTCTCCGCGTCCTAGCGTGACTCTACCGCTTCCCATCCTCTCTACCTTCTCCAATAGTGCAATCTCGTCCTGCAGATGAAACTGGCCGCGGTGTCCACACAACCACGCCACCCACGCCGCGAGCCAGGGTGCTCTCATCTCGTCAAGGCCATCAGAGCGATGTCTAAGAATCCGATGTCGTCGCCGACGAAGAAACGCTGCAACTTGCTGCACACCGTGAAGGCCTCCTCGAGCTGGGCGAGCGTCGTAGCCACCTGCTCTGGCACCAGTGAACGCTTTGTTGATGTACTACGAGATGATGAGCGGCTCGCAGACCAGCCTCTTGCCATGGACAAGCACAAAGTGGATGCAACTGGCCGCGATATGCATCCTCAATGCCATTAACAACTCGGCATCTAGAGTTCCTACTCGAAGCAGACGCGACCCTGCGCGCAAGCATGAAGATCTTGGTCTCGCTGTTTATCCGATTCCTTTACGGACAGAAACCAAAAAAAGCAAGCATTCGCTTTTTTTTCCATTTGCAGCGTCTTCCATTACTGTTCGCTTTTACGTTTATTACACGATGCAACCAAACAGCACCCTTGTTGCGTCAGATGCTTATGGAGCTTCACACCCCTCTTCAGTGAACTACTTTGGTTTATTGTGATTAGGTGAGTGTTGTCTACCTCTCCAGCAACCTCGTTAAGCATCGGCAGACTAAATCTGTGGAGATAGATCTACACTTTATTCGTGAGCGCGCACTCTTGGTCATGTCCATATTTTGCATGTCCCTACTACGTCGCAATTCACGGATATCTTCACCAAGGGCCTCCCTACATCCGTCCTCACAAAATTTTGGACTAGTCTGAAGTTCGACTTCCTCCCGCTCTGACTACACGAGGGTGTTAGATGGATTGATTGGGCACCCCTGCTAGTGCTCATCTGGCACGGCAAATTGTCTGGTCTACACAGAAGCATGCACAACATGCAGCTTCTATGCTTGCCTGAATGATTTGCTCCATACGGGAATAACTAGGCTGATTAGAAAATATTTGTGTTCAATATATATCACATAAGATTATGGCCTTGTCAGTAGCCTCTACAATCATGCCACGATGCGTATATGTACCACATCCTAATGAATGCAAATCATTGGGTGTTCTCCTCGAACTATCTCACGCTTGCCTTGGGTTGGGTTGCTTAGTCGTCTTTGAAATCATGACAACCTGTTTCAAAAATAACTTTTTTTTCTAAAAAGCATCCCACATTATGTGCATTTTGTTACCCTTAGCTAGGAAATCAAAAGAATAGACAGAAACATGACTGAGATTTGAACTACAGTCGATTGCCCATAACAGCATGTTTTATAACACTTTACTACAATTTAAGGAAGAAAATCAACAGAACCAATATTGAAGACAAGAAAGACAACCAGGTTTATACATTATAATATTATTTTAGCATGTCATTCATAGTGATGTATAATTAGTTAATGTATAAACAATAAATCAATGAATCACATATCTGTTTTGTTGAAAATACTGATTTTTTTTACGAACTCCAAGAAAAAAGTTCCTCGTCATTCAAGATACGGTGTTTAAAAGTTTTTTTTTTGAGACGTGTGTTCAAAAGTTAAGGAAGACACCTAGCAAAGCATTGTCGTTGATTTAATGTTTATACATTAACTAATCAGAATCAGTTTAGATGAAACAGTATGGCATTTTAATATTAAATTGCAGAACTAAATTATCAGATATAGACCCGTCCATGTGCAAAAAAAACAATCAAATAGATCTGTTTCTAGAGTTATACTGTTTAGGATTCCTAAAACCAACTCAGGCATGCATGTCAAGAGAAATTATGCAAATAAATATTTCTTCATGAGTTTAGATACCTAAGTGTTTGCTGTTATGAAGTTACTTACCTCATGATATGTTCGAGGAGAATCCACAACCAGTCTCTTGACCTAAATGCAGAATAGAGTTTAAAAGAAAGATATTGGTTAGGTTAAATATCAAACTAATATGAGTAGATTGTAACATGAAGTAATTCACCTTTTCATTAAAATCATCTTGAACAACAGATAAAGTTTGACCCTTTGCTCTGTGCAACATTACAGGAACAGCACCTTCCACACCCTCCTCAGCAGCCAAGGCAGCAGATTGAGCATGCTCAGTTATTCCTTTCCAGGTAGATAGCAAGCCATCAAGGTCCTTCTGCAGTTCCTCCCAGGAATGACCAGCTGCAACTGTACGAGCCGTCAAAGTAAATCCAGGAGGTCGCAGTAATTTCGTGATGCCCTTTAACCTGGTGCGCTCTATTCCGGTAATCTTTTTGGATACCCCAACTTTGTTGCCACGGGAAACCAGTATCTGCAAACTCAAAAGGTATACCGCTGAAGTTAATCCTAAAATTTCTTGCAAGTAGTGTGGATTTATTTTAATTTGAGGAACATGATGAAATATAAAAAGAACAAAACTTGATCTATTGTTAGCTACCTAAAGAAAATTATGTACATTATAATATTATTTTAGCATGTCATCATGATGTATAATTAGTTAATGTATAAACAATAAATCAATGAATCACATATCTGTTTTGTTGAAAATAGTGAATTTTTTTACGAACTCCAAGAAAAAGTTCCTCGTCATTCAAGATACAGTGTTCAAAAGTTAAGGAAGACACCTAACAAAGCATTGTGGTTTTCAAAAGGCCTTTAATTGCTTACTGCTAGCTTAGTTGTTTTGCAGTCTTTCTATTGCTCAAGTTGTAGCGATGATGGTCCCTATTTGCCATAGTCACAACAAGACATATGTGGTTGAAATTTTGCTTTAGTCACAACCATCATGCAAAATCTGTTTTGAACTCTCTATGATTGATGAGGCAGAGCTCTTGCCATTTCCTTCAAAAGGAAGATTCTACTACAATACTTATCAATTAGCACAGTACTTGATATTTCACTGTGTTATTTGACAACATCATGTCAGATCACAATTGGAAAACAATGCCTACACACCCCATGTGGGAATCAGCTACATTAGTCAATATATAAACATTATTTTCAGAAATATTTCTTTGCACCACATGCATATTTCAATGGCGTATTCTAAAAGGTTGCAAAGCACACTAACTTTAATTATGGAAGAGCACCAAGGCTAGCCCCATGATCATACATACCCAAAATCGGCTTCGCAGGCATGGAAATGGACTAAGTGTTGGACCTTTCGTACCTAATCCTTCCTTGACAACTTGAACCATAACTTTTGTGCCCTTGCGAACTTGAGACCACCTGCTTCCATTTGTGTCATCATTAGATTCTCTTAAAGCATGTTGAATTGAAGATAAAGTCTTAAGATCATTGGAAATTTCTGATTGATCTCCTTGCAGTATGTCCTCACTATATTCATCTTCCATGTGATCATTTTCTTCATCTTTGTCTTCGTCATTAACAGAAATGCTGTCAAATTCATCATCATCGACATTGTTTATCTTAGCATCAGATGTTAGCACCACACCTTCTTCATTATCTGTAATATTCTCAACTGGAAATGATGAACCATCATGAGTTTCTTCATCTGCAAACTCGTCATCACTCATATCATCATCGTTTTCATAAGTTGGAAGGTTCTCTTCATTACAATAAGAATCATCAACAGGATCTGTTCCTCGGTTCTTAAAAACTTGAGGATACACAAAAGGATCTCGGTTTTGCTTTATGCTCATAAGTGAAGGCCTTGAAATTCCAATATCTACAAATGCTCCTCCCATATGAGGAACGAGCTTTGTTACTACACCTAAATAAATACTATCACACTGTACATTGTTTTTTATGGGTTCCAGCAAGAGTTCAACTAGTTTTCCATCTTCTAATACTGCAATTCTCTGAATAGTGCAGACAGAGGAGTTCATAAGTATAACTCTTGATGAAGGTTCATCACCAGTTGGCTTACTCTCATCCAAAGGTGTTGGAGGTTTTTCTATTTTCCTTAATTTTCTGATAATATCCCTTGCTTCTGTTTTTCCATCAGCATGAACTATAGTTTCATTTAGTTCCAATATAGATTGAAATAACCAGGGCTCTTCAACAGGCTGATCCTGTTGATGCATGTTTTTACTAACTCCACTCAAAGTGTGCTTATAATTTACAAACTTCTTTTGCCCTTTCTTATCTTTGACTTTTGCAACTGGTTTCTTTGCAGACACAATTGATTCAAGAATCCATGGCTCCTCTACGACTTGAGACCTTCCATGTTGGCTTATATAACTGGCAGTTGGTATTTCAGTTACATAGTTGTGCACGATGCTAGATTGATTATCCAACAACAGTTTTGCATGTAAAGGTGTGCCATTCCCAAGCTTGAATATAATATGATCACCTGCAAATCCACTGGAAATATTTAAGTGTTCAGAACCGCTAAAGAAGACAATTAACTATTACTTTCTAGAAGATGTGGTAATGCAACATTACCTACAGATAAACCTTGATTTGATGTATCCCTGGCAGAGTGATCTTTCACAATGCTCTGATTATTTCCACCATCAAAAAGTTCACCTTCAAGAGAACCAGCTTCCATCAGCCATGATCCCCATGAAGGAGTAGGAAGACCTGCTAGACTGGTTTTCGTCCATAGGTCCTTCACAACAATGACCTGCTTTTTCTGGCCAACTGAAGGTATTGATAAGGAGTATACTGGACCTGGCCTCCATATAATATCAGAAGATGAACCCATTTCTTCTCGAACAAAATAATTATATTTGAAATGCACTCCATACGGTACCTGAAAGAATAAAGAATGTGATGCTCCAAAAGTAAAAGAAGATACAAGAGCTCCAAAAACAGTTAAATCAACATGGCATTCATCAAACTCACCAAATATTTGTAGAATTTACTTTATCTGTCCTTGATAAATGAATGTTTCCTTATTGAACTATTTTGTTTCTACAAGTAGTGAGTGAATTGTTTCCATGAGTAGCTAGTGAACATGTCATTAGTTAAAAGAAGAATACAGTAACACGGTTTGTCTTATGTGCTAACCAGCACCAGTTGGATATTAAAAAAAAAAACTGAGACAAGGCTCCTAATTTTTGTCTGAGGTGTTACGAATAAGGGAGACCAAATTGGATGATAGTATTGAGGCCCAAAGGGACTATTACATAGAGTACATGAGAGACGCAGGAGGGAAACAGTAGAATTGGGAAAAACACCTCACACCCCTTGGGTTGGGTGGCTTTCATATATATAGTAACAAGTGACTTCAGTTATAAGTAAGCCACATACAATTAGACACCTAGATATATACATATCTAACACCCCCCCACACACACACACACCCGCACAGTCGTAGCAGGAGGCTCACAGACATGATCACTGGTTTCAGGCAGGCCTTTAGTCATGGTATCCGCGAACAGAGGACGGCACATGCAAAACACGAACTTCACCTAGGGCGACCTTCTCAAGGACGAAGTGAGAACCTGGTGCAACCAGCAGCACTCAGCGACGGCACGGTACTCTGCTTCAGCACTAGAGCGAGAGATAGTGGTCTGACGCTTGGACGACCAAGGCACCAAGGTGTCGCCGAGGTAGACGCAGTAGCCCGATGTGGAGCGGAGGGAGTCGAGGCACCCTGCCCAGTCCGAAGAGGACCGGTGCCAATGTGTAGACCAGTAGAAAGAGTGCCCTTGACGTAGTGGAGAATGCATTTGACAAGGGATGTGTAGACCAGTAGAAAGAGTGCCCTTGACGTAGTGGAGAATGCGTTTGACAAGGGCAAGGTGCGGCTCCGTGGGGTCATGCATGAAGAGGCACACCTACTAGACCTCATAGGTTAGGTCGGGGCGGGTGAGAGTAAGGTCTTGTAGCGCCCCGGCGAGGCTACGGTACTCGGATGGGTCGGCGATTGGGGCACCATCTGTAGCGGAGAGCTTGGACTTAGTCCGCAGGCATCGTGGTAGGATGATACTCCACTCGGACATGCCAGTACATTGGAGAAGCTCAACAGCATACTATACTGGCGCTGCGAGAGCAACAGTCCATCTGGCGCTGCGAGAGCAACAGTCCATCGGAGGAGCGCGTGACGGAGATGCCAAGGAAGTGGTGGAGCGCGCCGAGGTCAAGCTGAGGCACGCAGTGATGCGATGTAGGAGGTCCGAGGAGGAGGTCGTAGGGACGATGTCATTGATGTAGAGCAGCAAGTAGGCAACGCTATCTCGATTATAAATAGAGACGCATCGGTGGCGGAGAACGTGAAGTCGAGCTGGCGAAGATACGTGGCAAACCACTGGTGCCACACACGGGAAGCTTGCTTCAGGCAGTAGAGGGACTTCTGCAACAAACAAACGTGATTAGGTGCAGAGGGGTCGACGAAGCCAGGAGGTTGCTGGCAGTAGACAGACTCCTCAAGACTGCCATGGAGAAAGGCATTCTTGACATCAAGCCAGTGGATCGGCCTCGACCGCGAGGCAGCGATGCTGAGGACGACGCGGATCGTGGCCGGTTTGACAACCGGGCTGAATGTCTCATCATAGTCCACGCTATGCTGCTGGGAGTAACAGCGAACGACCCAGCGAGCCTTATGGCAGGCCAGCGACCCGTCGGCGTGGTACTTAAGCTTGTAGATCCACTTGCCAGTGACGACATTGGCACGAGGCTGGGGAACAAGGCGCCAACTCTAGTGAAATCAATCGAGATTTGGAGAGGTCCTTGGTGATCTACCGGCTTCTAGTTGTGCCCATGTCGTAGCGGCCGAGCTTGGTTGCTCGCTAGGCCAAGTGAAGCGGTGATCTAAGGATCCACCTCAACGCGGATTAAGTTGCCGGCAAGCAACCGAACCTCAGGATAAATAGTGTTACTTACCTTCGGTGGTTTGCATAACACTGCGATTACAATGCATATATTGTGCTTGTGTGATTTGTGTAGCTCTAGCTCTCTAGTGGGTAGTGTATATTAGTTGCTCTCTTTGTTAGATCACTAGTTGCTAGGTGTCACCTCTAGTTGTGTGTTTGTATGTTTAATTAGTTAACCTTGCAACTACAATTGTGTAGGGGGCTTGCTTTGTATTGACTAGACTAGGCAAGTAGTGGCTAGTGGGATTGTCTCTTTTACTAATACACTTGCCTAGTGTCTGTCTTTGTACAAATTTTAATTAGGCTATTCACACCCCACCCATCCCCCACCCCCCTCTCTACCTATCCATAGAGCGACGCCTGAAACGGGGGACCGCTCGTAACAGCCCCACACACCAGCGCGGATGAAGACTGGCGGACGAAGAATCCAACGACGGGCGCGACGATGAAGGCGGGCCAGGAAGCATGCAACGCACGGATCGGCGACTGGGCAGACTCCACGACAGTCACGTGTACGAACGGTGCTGGCCATAGCAGGTGAAGATGGCCGGATTTGGATCTGCCTCGTGCAAACATGCTGCTGCTGAAGAGGACGAAGAATGATGGCTCGATCCATGACGAAGACTAAAAAAATAGTATGTAGCTCTACAAAGGCTGCCTCATCTATCTTCCACTTCCAATGCCATAATCCCCTTCAAGCCATGTGATATGGCATTCCTCTGCCAATATGTGCCCCATGCTCCCGTTGTGACAGCAACTATGTAATCATTCATCTTTGAACCAATACAGCATGCTTAACAAATTAAACTACCTAAAAGATCGTTGGTAAATGTCACATCAACTAAATATGAATTTTCTAAAATAATTGAGTAAATTGACTTCAAATGCTTCTCGAATATTGAAATATGATTTATCATCCACACAATATTATTCTTAATAAATGTTATGCTCAGAAGATGATACTGTTAAAAGAAGATTTACCTTTATTTCAGCTGTCCATATATTATTGCTTTCAACAGAAGGAGCCAACTGAACAGCCATGTTGGATTCCCAGCAGCCCAGGGTAACCGGGTCTCCTGTTATGAATATTAAGCACCCATCTTGTACATCTGCTTTCAGGTTCCATGATATTGTACAGAATCCTTTACAGGTTATGGCTAAATCATCTGTTAGAAAATGAACATGAAACACTGTAAACATCCAACCATTAACTTGTATACTAATAGTGTAAACAATTTTAGTTGTACATTTCATTGAACTTAATAAATCAACGTATATTTTTTTTCTCGAATGACAGTGTGCCATTTCATTAAGAAGAGAATGAAAACAATGGAGGAGAGGCAGAGCCTGCTCCCCCAAGTAACCAAATACAGGACTCTTAGCGCCACACTAGGAAAAAAAACATGCAACCACTGCCCAAAAAACGCCTAAGCAACCATAGGTAGCAACCTACTAAGAAGCAGCAGAGCCTTAGCTCCAGCCCAACACCACAACATACATTCTTCAGAAACTATAGCTAAAACTCTTTGGACACAAGGAGTAGCACCCTCAAAGACAGGCATTCCTGTGCTTCCACATCTCACAAACAACCAGAATGATGAGTGAATTCAGTCCTTTTATTTGCTCTTTTGGAACAGCCTTGATTATTTTGCACCACCAGCTAGAAAAACAAGAATCCTCTAGCTGCGGTTCAAGGGGAAGCAAGCCCAACACATGAAAGATAGTTGTCCAAAGTCCAAACCTGCCATGTGAAAACACAAGCAACAAGAGTATGCTGTATTGTTTCATCATCTTGACCACATAGTGGACAACAGACGGGTGGGGAAGTTCTCTTTTTGCAAGGCAGACGTATATTTTTTCTCAAACACGTAGGAGCTACGTATCTTTATATTAAGACGAACAAAAAGGGAGGATGTTTTAGGATACCACTAAATATAGGATGTTGGATAGGGGGGCTGTTGGAGGGTGGTTTTGTTGCATAAACCTTAATTTTGACTCTAAGAGATTGGATAGGGTAACTCTTGGAGATGCTCTTAGATTACACATGTGCCCTCGTTTACATAATACAAGACCTCGATTAATAAAACACCTAAACAAGATCCACCGTTGGGACATACACATACAGGTAGGAGATACCTCTAGCAGCTGCCAAGCCCCCACAACTTCATTGCCTCACTAGCCACCAGCAAAGCACCAGCCAAATTTGACAGGGCTCCATAAGTCAAAGTAATCTCATAAACTGAATAAAATTTGCAACATTTCGACTTGATTTGATTTATTAGATGAACAACTTTGTACTGTGTACATTGCAAGCAGAAAACTTGTCTACTTTGACATTCAGAATAAAAAATGACTCAACTCTTCAGCAAAAAAGTTTAAACTTGGCAATAGTGACACTAAAGATGGATTACTAAACACAAAGTGATGTGCTTAGTTTTCTTTTCAAGCGCCAGTCTCGTGGTCCTCCAAGCGCCAGTCCACTGTCGCGTTCCAGCGCTGAGGCCGAATACCGTGCTGTGGCCAACGCTGTCGCCGAAGCTACCTGGCTGCGCCAGCTCTTACTTGAGCTTCATATGCCTCTCCGCCGAGCGACACTTGTCTACTGCAACAACATCAGCACGGTCTACATGTCCATCAACCCCGTTAAGCATCAGCGCACCAAGCACATTGAGATCGACCTACACTTTGTCTGTGAGCGTGTGGCTCTAGGTGACACCAAGGTTCTGCACGTCCCCACAACGTCGCAGTTCGCCGACATCTTCACCAAAGGGCTTCCAGCTTCTGTCTTCAATGAGTTAAGGTCCAGTCTCAACGTCAGCAAGGCTGCCGCTTCGACTGCGGGGGCGTGTTAGACAGGCCTAGTGCTTATATGGTTAGGATAGATTGATTGATATCTAATAGGCAAGGATTCCCCGCTGGTTCTGTTCCTTGCCTATACATGTGTAACCTCATCAACTATCTTGTGCCTAATCTCTTACAGTGACAATTGATCTAGCATTCATGCAGTATGTGCCTGAGGTTATTCAAAAGAGTCTTGCACTACAGACAGATATGCAGATCAATGTAGCGATTGAGCCTTGGCACTGGTGGCCAGAGAGAAACAGAATAAGAGGGAGGGAAAAAAGGAGAACAAGTTTGAATGAATGCCCAGACATTGGAGTTCATGAAGTTAAACAGCAGTGGAGCCAAATTATAAAAGCCCTAGACAACAAAGTTGGAAAAAATAGAGGGAGATGTACTAAAGACAAACACTGACGGAGTTTTTTTCAGCCTTCTACTGCTCTGGCTGGACGGGGATATGTTGTAAGGGATGTTGTAGTTGCTGGTGCAGAAAGTCTGGTTTTATAACTGGAGCCGCTACATACAGAACCCGCATCTTCTTCTTTTTTTTGTGTGTGTGTGCGGGGTGTCGTCTCGATGCCACCTTGCTACATGGAATGGGCCGGCCATGTGATTCTTGAGTTGTAGAGAAAGGAATGTTTGATCTCGCACCAACTGGTGGCCTGATATGTGAACTACAGACTACATACTGCTAAGAGAATTTTATTAGTTCTTCAATTAACTATGTTCCAAGAAAATTGTATCAAGCCAGCGCATGCTTTAGCCGAACTAGGGTGTAAGTGTCGGCTCATGTGGCATCCAAATGTATCCGGGACCTGGTTACCAGTGATTTAGCTGATCCCATGAGTTGATAGACTGGATGGTTGGGGCTTCCTCCAAGAAATCTTTAAGTGGAACAAATTCCCTTCTTCTCTCAAGGAGTTCTCTGAGTCTTGGCTACAAGGCAAGGGGCCTTTGCCTATTAGGTTAATCTTGTTCATTTTTGCAGGTTTCGCTTGGGCCATCTGGACCAACAGGAACAAGATGGCTATCCAACACCAGTTTCCAAAGTCTCCGTCTGACATCATATACACTGCTGTATCCTTTATGCAGAAATGGAGTATCCTGCTTAAGGAAGCCGATCGTTGATCGCATCAAGCAAGTGAAGGACAACATCTTGCTTTGGATTGGAAACTTCAAGCCCAAGGTGTTCAGCTCTACTGATGTATATGAAATCTAGTGGCTGGAGTAGCTTTTGCTGGATTTGTGTTTGCGTCTGTGAATCTGATTTACCCAGTAACGTTTGTATTGCGTCTGTGGAACTGGTTTACCCAGTGATGTATGTGATGCTTTCTTAAAAGCAGAGGCTATGCCTCCATTAAAAAAAAAAGACTGGATGGTTCCAGATTAAAAAAAAGGAACATTTCCTCGCTGTGGGGGAAAAACCCACAAGAAATATCTCCAGCATCCTAAGACACCACCTTGACGAATATCTGTTGTGCTAAGCGTTCTAAGACACCATCTTGACGAATCTATTGTTGATTACTCTAAAAAATATCTATTGTTGCTTAGCACAAACGAAAAATAGAAATTACCACTCCCGTTAGACTTTGGTGCCTTTGGGGAAAGTGCCAAGTTCGTTTCCACTTGAAGATTACTTCTAAGACCATCCATGAATTGCGCTGAAGATACGGAGTGCCTACGAAGATTAATTAAGAGGCTGTCACCATATAAACAACAATAGGACCATTTCTCTAAGCAAACAAAGTTCAGATTGTTTAGGCCAATGATTCGTAGCAAAGAGGCTACATCAACAAGTTGTTCCTGAATGCCTTAAGGAAAACTCGGGAATTCCACTAGTTTGATCACTGCAGCTCAAATCTAAAGGTAGAGAAAACAAAGTTTGCATTATTGGAACTTGGGGACAAAGTAAGAAAATAATAAAGCACTTCATAGCAAGAAATGTACGATACCTTCCCCGAAGACCGAATAGAGCCGAGCTGACCGCGCCCACGCCGCGACGCGACGCATGAGCGGCCGCGGTGGAGGCCTCTGTAGCGGGGGAGCCGGCGGTAGCGCGGCAGAGGGGCCACATGCTAACGAGAGTAGGCGCTAGGCCCAGCACGCAGGCGGCCATGGGAGCGCGCAGTAGGGCTTCTCCCCTCTGCCACGGGCTGGAGGCTCCACCGCTTCTGCGGCTCCGCTCCTTGTTTCCGGATGGGGGATAGGAGATGCCGACTCGCCCAGATAGCGACCAGAGGCGGAAGAGCCAGAACGCACCACTTCACCTCTTCCCGGCCAGGGCGGCAGCTCGGCGGCCAGCCTGCCCGACTGGAGCAGCGGCGGCTCGCCCTTCCTGGTGCAGCAGGGAGAGGAAAAGAGGGGAGGGGCGCCTGTGGTCTGGGAGGAAGAGGAGGGGGAGCTGCAGGGCGCCGGCGTGCAACGCGGGGAGCGACGGTACGAGATAAGGTTCGTGTCATGCGTTGGGAATAAGCTGTTCTTGCGGCTCATATGCAGGATGCGGCCGTGGCGAGAGAAAGACACTGTAAAGCCGAAGCGATAAGTTCAAATGAACACTTCCGATCATTTCTCCGTGCGCATGTGGGTGTGTTGTTGCGTGCGTGAGGGGCTGGGCTGCTGGCGGCGGGAGTTGTGTACGTGTGTGTGTGTGTTTTTTTGCTAGGGCGTCCGTCCGGGCGTGTATATGCGGACGCACTCTATTTTTGGGCCTGTACAGTGAATTGGGTCCAACGACGATCAGTCTGTTTCCCTCTGCGCTCTCTCCTTCATCTTTATCTAGCGACATAATCCCTACTCAATTCGCTCGCCGTGGCTTCAACGCATCGGGCGTCCGTCCCCACTCTGCATGGCGCTTCATTTCTCTCTACGCCGCATCTGCCGCCACGCTGTTGACGGCAGTTAACAACCATTATAAAACCGTCAATAAAATATGTATAAGGACACAATTGTAATCACCAACAAAGGTCTAGTGATTTAAACTAACAAATTTCACGACTTTTGATGAATCTATATTTTCTACACGGTTTATCCAGAAAACCGTCAAGGCAGACCTACATGTCAGAATTAATCGTGCTTATCCGCCGCGAAACGGGCATCAGAAGGTTTTAGAGGACTCTAGAGGACACCACACTGAAGCGGGAGCCGAGGGGCTACCATGTGGGGCCGGTCGGCCCCACTTGCAGGGCGCCCAGCCCGTAGGGCCACCTGTCAGCCTCCGCCTCGTTATGTCGGTTATCCACCGCCTCATAGGTTGCATCTACGCCGTTCTTTAAGTCGGTTTAATCTAAGGGCTCACGATGGACGTTCCGGCCTATATATATCAGCCCCTGCCCCCCTCACTCAGCAGATCCCTAAAACCCTAATTCGTATCTTCAGGATCAGAGCCAGCAATCAAGAGAAGATTAGTCATCTATAGGATCTAATCTTATAAATAGAATAGTGAGACAGAGAGTGAGGGAAAAGTTTAAAGGAGGTGTCGGCCTGTCGATGCTCTCTCTACAGCTTATACCTTGGCGGATACAAGTTCTACTTGAGCTTACTTTTGAGATTTTTCTGGTAATCAACTTCTGATTTAAGTAAGTAATTGTTTATATTGTTCATCAGGATCACGACTCTCTTTTGAGTGCTTTAATCTATAGACGCTCTAGGTTAAAATATTAATCATAAGTGTAAGCGTGGTGCTTAGATTTAGATTAATCGTGGAGGCCCCCTGCATTTCGGAAGGTGGTAGATCGCGTGTGATAGCCTGTACTATACAACTTCGTTGATCATTTGTAGTCCATCTCCCGTCTGTAGGCGCACGTAGAACGCGGATGCGAAGGAAAGCATCCTCTACCGGTGTCTTTCCCAAGTAATGTTCCTAGTTGAAAAATAATAGAAGACATAGCTTACCCAAGTTAGAACTAGAGAACATTAGTTATCCTCTCTACGCTTCTATTTATCATAACCTTGTTGCTATCCCTAGTTAAGTTAGATCGTAGTTAGTCTCACACGTTTTCCTATAGATACGATACTTGAAATACCTCCGGATGAAAGCTACAGCGGTATCCGTGCGCTTACGGATTTATCTGTGTACGTTAAAATATATAACAAGTTTTCTGGCGTCGTTGTCGAAAAACGATTGCTAAATTAACTTCGAGCCTAGCTTAACATTTTATCTTTTGTTCTTTTTTTTGTTTTACTTTTTCGTTTAGCATGGATTCCACTCCTATCTATCAATATGCTAAATCCACGAGCGTAAACCTAAAGCCACCAAAATCTTCAGAGCCTATCCTAACACCTGCATATGAGATTTGCCCGTGTTTTATAAAACTGATTCGGGATAAATCTTTCTCGGGTGAAGGCGATGAAAACACATACTCACGCCTACGCGAGTTAAAACATACATCTGCATGTTTGCGTATCGTTGGCATGTCTGACAAAATCTTAAGATGGAAGTTATTCACATTCTCTTTGACAGAAAGAGCTAAACAATGGTACAGCCTAACCGTAGAAAGTATGCAAGGAGATTAGAAAACATTATGCTATAAATTTTATTTACGTTTTTTTCATCTCTAAGGTAGTCAGCCTTCGAAAAGAGGTTCTAAATTTTAGACAACTAGAAGACGAATCTCTTGGTATATTGTGGGATCGTTTTAATAAACTAATCATCATTGGCCCGGACCTTGCCATTTAAGACCATGTACTTCTTCAATATTTTTACATGGGTCTTAGCAAGGATTCCAAGGAATCCCTTAATGCAACCTCTAGTGAAGCTTTTCTTTATTTGTCTGCTAGTGAAGTAAGGGTTATGCTTGATAGAATTAGTGAAAAGACTCCCTGCACTAGTATGCATTATAAACTTCTCGAAGAAGAGAAGGAATCCTCTTTGAAACAACAAGAGAAAGTTTTGATAGTTAAATCACTACCACTTCGATCCCAAGATTTAGCTATCAATTCCGAACCACTAATACCCAAAATCTCCCAAAATAAGAAGGAATTTCACCTTTGAAAATCCCTGTTGAGATTAAGGATGACTTTTTTTATGCTGATTTTGGGAGAGCATTAAATTCTCATAAGAAACCTTTAAACGAATATAATTCAAATCTTCTCAAGAAGGGGTCTCTTAGAAAGCGTCCTTATTCCCATGTGGGATATTGGGAAGAATTCAAGGATGGCATGTCTAGTGATGCCATAGAAGGAGAGCCGAGCCATTTAGAAACCACGCATATCCTCTTCCCTTCTATATCTACATTAGATGTCTTATTTGAACTCATCTTTCAACCCATACTTGACTTCGATGATCCCTCTTATGCTCTTTCTCTTAAGTCTCATGATGACCCTAAAAATCTATTAAGACAACCGAAGTATAAGAATCATGAAGACCGTAAGGATGGCCAAGAAGAGCAACGACAATGGCTGAAATGTATTAAGAATTGGCTGAAATGTATTAAGAATTCATATGTCATTACTAAAGAATGGATGGACAAAGACGAAGACTTATGGATAGAATCCAAACTTGGCCTAGATTCAAATAGTGAGTTTGAATCAACCTCTTTAATAAACATGACTCATCCAAGTTTGAAGAAAGCCTTAGACGAGATCAACCCGAGAGCTACCAATCCAAGGAAAATATTGCACATTTAGGAAGAAACATCCTTGGAACTTGAAAAGGAAGATGACATCGATGAGCATGGGAGTTATTTCATGAACACCTCATCAAATTCATGCTCACATGAGAAATTCCATGAGTTTTGGTGAATCTGTATTTTCGGCAGGGTTTATCCAGAAAACCGTCAAGGCGGACCTACATGTCAGAATTAATCGTGCTAATCCACCGTGAAACGGGCACCAGAAGGTTCCAGAGGACACCACACTGAAGCAGGACCTGAGGGCTGCCATGTGGGGTTGGCCGGCCCCACTTGCAGGGCACCCGACACCTGGGGCCACCTGTCAGCCTCCGCCTCGTTATATCGGTTCTCCACCGCCTCATAGGTTGCGTCAACGCCGTTCTTTAAGTCGGTTTGATCCAAGGGTTCACGATGGACGCTTCGACCTATATATATCAGCCCCTGCCCCCTTCCTCAGCAAATCCCTGAAACCCTAATTCATATCTTTAGGATCAGAGCCAGCAATCAAGAGAAGATTAGTCCTCCATAGGATCTGGTCTTATAAATAGAATAGTGAGATAGAGAGTGAGAGAAGAGTTTGGAGGAGATGTCGGCTTATCGGTGCTCTCTCTCTATGGCTTGTACCTTGGCGGATACAAGTTCTACTTGAGCTTGATTTCGAGATTTCTCTAGTAATCAACTTCTGATTCAAGTAAGTAATTGTTTATATTGTTCATCAGGATCACGACGCTCTTTTGAGTGTTTTAATCTATAGACGCTGTAGGTTAAAATATTAATCGTAAGTGTAAGCGTGGTGCTTAGATTTAGATTAATCGTGGAGGCCCCCTGCATTTCGGAAGGTGGTAGATCGCGTGTGATAGCCTGTACTATACAACTTCGTTGATCATTTGTAGTCCATCTCCCGTCTGTAGGCGCACGTAGAACGCGGATGCGAAGGAAAGCATCCTCTACCGGTGTCTTTCCCAAGTAATGTTCCTAGTTGAAAAATAATAGAAGACATAGCTTACCCAAGTTAGAACTAGAGAACATTAGTTATCCTCTCTACGCTTCTATTTATCATAACCTTGTTGCTATCCCTAGTTAAGTTAGATCGTAGTTAGTCTCACACGTTTTCCTATAGATACGATACTTGAAATACCTCCGGATAAAAGCTACAGCGGTATCCGTGCGCTTACGGATTTATCTGTGTACGTTAAAATATATAACAAGTTTTCTGGCGTCGTTGTCGAAAAACGATTGCTAAATTAACTTCGAGCCTAGCTTAACATTTTATCTTTTGTTCTTTTTTTTGTTTTACTTTTTCGTTTAGCATGGATTCCACTCCTATCTATCAATATGCTAAATCCACGAGCGTAAACCTAAAGCCACCAAAATCTTCAGAGCCTATCCTAACACCTGCATATGAGATTTGCCCGTGTTTTATAAAACTGATTCGGGATAAATCTTTCTCGGGTGAAGGCGATGAAAACACATACTCACGCCTACGCGAGTTAAAACATACATCTGC